AAGTACTGTCACAGATAACACAATAAATAATATTACAGTACTGGTGAGTAATATATAAGCATATTAATTCAGAATGAAAGTATCTACGCTAAGTAAAATTACAGGTATTTAGTAGGTCATTCAACTCAAGATTTCCAGTTCAAAAGAGTAGAACCCTTCAAGTTGCAAACGGTTTCAGTATGATGGACGCATAAATACCTTGTACATGTTTGTTGATTATGAAATAATTGTTTATTATATTATGTGAATTATAATAATAATCACAGGATAATTCACACAGCGCCATCTCGACTCGGTCCTGGACAACTGATATATGTAGATACTTTTATTTTGTAAATACATACATAGTCCACATAGAAAACACCCACACTGTGCGAGGAATCGAATCCGCGACCATCGGAAATAAGGCAGTATGCTAAACCGCTAGGTCACCTAGGCCGTCAGTGAAAGGGAAATAAAATATGGGCTTATTAATTTTGTTTAATTAAACTTGTGACAAATTACACCTTTTCAGCTATATAACTTTATACTTAATTACTTGTAGTAAATAATATTAGATATTCTGTACAATTAGATAATTTGTTGTCGCCGGATTTATTACAAAAACAGATTAATTTAATTCAATATATAAATAGATTTCACAAATATATGTATACTATAAGTTACGTGTAAATTTTACTAATAAAATGCTCTAATTGATACAAAAATTTGATTGAGAATTCCTAAACAAAATTTCGTCGAAAAATATAAAAGATTCTATAAATAGCGGTGATATTTCAGTGTAGGTGGGAGTTTGATATAAATCAATAGTTTTCGTAACATCAAGTGAAACAGTCTAGTAGTGACACAGTTAATTTTCATATAATTTATGTAGTTACTATATTTAACTCTATCTTGTCTATGGTTTTCAAAATGAGAACGCGAGCTAAGTTTCTCCGTGCAATTAAATTGTACGCAAGTTGCATGTGCATGACCACAGTAGAAACTGAAACATGTCTGCTTTTACTTGTATACTAAAACAAGCTTATGAGCTAGGTATATTAATATAAATTATTTCCAGCATTACTTTGGAATTGTGGAATATAAGAATACCGGAAGAAAAAATCACCAAACAGATACAACAGGCCTCGGTGGTCTAGTGGTTTAGCATACCGATTTATTTCAGGTGGGTGCGGGTTTGATTCATCGTACCGTACAAACATTGGTATTCATGTGTATGATTGTTTGTATCTGTCTGGGTGTTTTCTATGTGTACTATGTATGTATTTGCTAAAAAAAGTGTCTATGTATTTGTATCAGATGCCTAGCACCCATGACACAAGCATCAGTCTGAGTTGTGAAAATGAATGAAAAAAGAATGCACGAATGCATTTAACTATTAGTACACGCATTCTTATTTCATCCATTTCCTTAACTTATCAAATTTACATGTCACAATCAAATTTAAAACGTCATAGAACGTCAATTTTTTTTATTATAATATTCTTTCTCTACCGTCCAGTTCAGTATACAGATTCAATTTAAGAACAGTCATGAAAGTCAAATGATTTCTTTAAGAGACTTGAAGTAGAGAATTTCTATGTAAATAATAACAGTATCACTGTGACTGTCTCACAGGTGAGAACCGTGTGTCATTGACTTGTATCCATCCTTACCCAGTACTCCATTCATATTCATAAATCGTCTCACACATGCATATTAGTTCCGGAGAAGAATCACCTCCTAAATCAGATAGCCGAATTATAATCTAACGAAACTTCAACAATTAACAACGGCGGTGTGAGAAAATTCGATCGTTTATCGTGTTCAATTTACTTTTGTACTGTTTAGGGTTATTTAGACAATAATCGCTTTTATAGTTCTACGTCCGACTATATCATACAATTTTATCGTCACGATAAAAATGGAGTTATGATGAATAGAAAGTAAAATACTATGCTGTTTAATGGAGCACAATAGTGACGCCCCTAGTATACGAGATGACGAAAAACTACGGTAACTGTATTTCATCAGATGGGTAGTCATAGACAGTACGCTAAATCAGAAAACAGCCATATTGTACCTACTTTATTAAATATTAGCTGACCCGCGACTTATAAGCCACATACAAACAGATACTCTGAATAAGGATATTTTGTTATGAAAATTTTCATTGAAATTGCATTCCTATTGGTCGTAGCATGATATTATGTAATTACTACTACATCGTTCTTCAATTAATGGGGTATTGAACACTAAAATAAACTTATAAATATCAACCAATAATTCCTGTGATTAGTGCATTAAATCATATAAACTTTTGTATATTGCAAGTCAATGTAAATTCATTATTACTAAGTTATTACCCTAAAATCAACTACCAAACATCAATTAATTGCAGACGGTTCAGGTAATATTTTTTTACCACGATAAACCCATATCAAAAATAATTACAATCCCGCCTTAGATGGTATAATGATTAATTGGGCACCTATTATAGCCTGGGGTAAAAATGAATATTGTATTTAGAATATAAAAATACCATCCTGTCTGAATAAAGAAGTAACAAGAAGGTAAAAGATTAAAAATTTGGAACGGTTACTATTTTTTAAAATTCGTTAAGGGGTTACATAAATAGAACCTTTCCCCATTATTCCCTTACTATAGGGGTTAGGGTGTGAGATTAAGTGTGTGGCTATTTTAGATGAAAAATGTAAGAAGTTTTTATCAGACGCGAGTTCAGTTTTCATATGCTTAACCCGGTAGATCCTTTCAAATACATATACTTGTGTATTAATAGCATGAACATCCACTGTCTATGTAAAAAAATGTAGTCGAATCGTTTAACTGTAATGAGTTTAGGACAGATATAATTTTTATTATAAGATAAAAAAATCCCAACTTATGTATTACTTATTGATTATATATCTAAATTGCTATTTATGTGATACAGCATAATGTAGTTATAAGACGTTCACGAGTTTACAATAACTATTTCATTATTAAACTTATGAGTTTAGAATAACACAGTTTCAATTGGTGGGTCGGTCGTTTAGATCAGTCTATTACTGATATAGCGACTGCTGAAGTCTAGATTTCAGGGTTACGATAAATGTTGCGTGCTCCTTATAACTTTGGGGCATTCCCAGAACTTTGACATGATAATGGTTTTTGGAGTAATTCGAAGAAATCTACGATTAAGTGTAATTGATAAAACCAACGAATTTTGTTGTGTTTCCTGTCTTTAATATATATAAAATATACTTTTGTGTATTTTAAATTAATAATAAAACCTTGTTGGCTGATAGAAAGAAGTTGAATTTATTACAAATTACAACATATCATAAAAGAGGTGCTAATAAAATGCAATATTACAAAGTTTAAAAAGTCCAAAGGTAGGTACTATACAATTCATATAAATACTTAAAAAAAACTTAAACTTTTTTTAACTACATGATTTTTTTGTAATTGCATACATATAATATATAGAAAACAATAGGACTCATACAAACATACAAATACTCATGAATACATATAATAATATTTGTATTATGCGAGTAATCGAATCCGCAACCATCGGAAGTAAGGTAAATATTCTTAATTAAAATTAGTATTAAAAAAATCCTATTGTAAAATATTTTTATTGCCGTTTTCTGCCCTTGGTAGTTAAGTTAATCTCTAAAATCGCGACAGTATCAAATCTATTCACACTCGGACAGTTTTAATTCCGCCTAAAGCGATAAATTTCGCAAATTTTAATCCTTTTATCGCATGGACCCATTTTGCTTTTTGTTGGACACAGTTCAAAAGGGTAGATTTAGCCTGAGCCTTAGGTAGGGACTATAGGGCAAATAGGGATCTAATGTTTTATGATGCGTATTCATTACGTCCCCAAACTATTTGGTAAATTTGCTGCCTTCTAGATCTGAGCAACTTACTTTGACTTACCGAATACAACATTTGAATCGGAAAAGGTTACTATTCTTCTAATTTCACTTCACTTTTTAAAAATGATCGTATTTTAGTGCTTTTTTTTGTTATTGATAGGGTTTAGTCCTGCGATGTATTATGGTTACATAGTAATTTCGTAACAAATAGTTATTTTAGTTATATACAGTCTAAATTAGGTATATCTTATGTAAATCTTAAATTCTAATCAAAACAAATCTATGCTTTTGATTGTTATCTGACATTGAAATATATTATTTCAATACATACAAATTTTATTAAATTATAAGAAATTGTATTATATTTGGGATGGAGTGCGTTAGGCACTCTTTATACCGGTCAACTAGGATCACACAGACTAAGGATCAAAAATTATTTAAAACTGGTCAGTTCCAGAGAAACTAATTTAATTGCAAAACAAAATACATACATACAAAGGAGTCTGTAATGAAAGAATTTTGCTGCCTGACACTCTATTTACGTAAACTAGGGCTTTATTTATTGGTGATTACTATCAACACCCATTAGAGCAAAAGGGAGAACAAGAAACGTAGACAAAACTTGTCTACGGACATAAATAATCGTACCTCCCAAATTAATGTTTCCCACATTGGCAGGGGAATGTGATTACGGACTCGAATCATTGAACGGGTAATTTGGATTTACTAATGTGAACTTGGAATGGCCGGAGCTGTGGGCGGTTTTGTTACCCAAAAGACGATTTGTCTGGAATTAAATAAATGTCGTAACTTTATGTATTAAATAACTAATTTTTGACCGTATATTAAATATAGAGCCTTGATTAAATTTCAGCCATAGTTTAAAAAATATGAGTATTGATTTTAATTAGAGGAATATTCAGCACATATCTAATAACATTGTGACTGGTAGATAATAATATTCGAGATGGTGCTTTCGTGCGTTTGATAATTATAGTGAAACGATGTTTAGTTGGTAAGTTTCAAGCGTTATCAGTCTGTGATTGTGCAGATTGCTGGTACTCAGTTTAACTATTTAAACTATAATACATAGTAATGTGATAATTTCGATACCCAGCGTACCTACCACCAACCACATAATTATTTAATGTATTCTCGTGATTTGCCATCAACCAATATTCATTAATTACTTGTACTTCTTGTACTAAAATACCAAATCCAGTTCCTAAGTAGTATGCTAATGTAGTAGTAGTATGATTATTTTTTTTCAACTAGTAATATACAAAAAGAACTTTTTAGGAATCTTCTTTGTCGATTCCTCAAGGCAGGGTCGTAACCACCAGTAATTCTTCTTCCAACCAATATTCTCCAGGCATCTCTATCCTGTGCCAAGTGGATCAGCGACTGCATACATAAATACATAAATATTAATATTCAGTAAAAATAGATTCATTTGATTCAAACGTGGTTGCGAGGCAAGTTCATTATTGTTACAATTTTGATATTAATATTCCGTCTTGACTTTTTTGTGAGTTATCAAATTGAATTGTAAATTCAGGCTAGACACATTTATTCCAACTTCGAATAGCTTTCCTAAGGCAGTAACCGGTCTGACATTCTTTACTATATGAACTTCGTCCTACCTAAACCGGCCAGTCGAATGCCTAGATTTATATAAAGTTGCGACATACCATTTAGATTTAAAGTTGCTGCGATCGAAGTTTCTAAAATATAAATGGAAGCAGTAATATATATGGTAACTGTACATTTATGTTGGTAACTTAGGCATTTAACTTACACATTTATGATTTATGGTACATTTTCATTATTGCTTTGCATTTAAAAAACTTTATAGTATAATAAGCGAACTATTTGAGATGAAAATTAAATTATTATTATTTAAAATATTAAACATAAATTGGGGCATTTATCGTCTTTTAAATTTGTCCCCTTTGTGAACATTGGAATTAACAAAAATCAAGATAAGAAATCAGTTAAACTTTACAGACAAAAGCGAGAATTGTATACAAGGACAGAAGCTATGGATACTCGGTTCGAAGATAGATATCGGATAAAATTGGTATCATATCTCATAATGATGATTAGACGGTGCTCACATCGATCATCGTCAATTTTAATCTTTAGACATCTGTGGAACGGTAAAGGTTCTTTTCTTATGTGATTGAAATGGTAAACAAGCTGACAGTCTATTTGATCATAAACGGTAACTATCAAGAAGAGACACGTTATAATGACACCCGTGAGTAATCATTTCAGAGGACTAAGATGTGAGATCTCTTATCCTGCAATTTCACTACCTAATCGCACCGTACAACCTAAACAAAGCTTACAAAGTAAACTATGAGGCGCCAGAATAGGCGACATTGGTACCCACGCAGACAAGTCTTTACCTTTTATCTTTGGCTCTTCAGTCTATTGTTTGGTACAGAGCTGTTTATGATAAAACAGAAAGAATTTCGATGATTATTTGGGGATAATAATAGGGCTTAATACCGTAGCTGTCTCATATAAATTTTAACATGATAGCAGTCTATTCTACATTTGAATAAATGTAATATTTTATATAAATCATACATTGTACAATGAACTGAATTGGGAAGTCCAAATCCCACATAAAGCATAAGTTACATGCAATTATCTCATCAAAAAACTCGTAAAAATGCTATAAATGGCGTTTATTCAAATCGTCACGCATGAATGCCTATAAACGTTCATATTTACGATTATGGTTCAGCTTGTGATGTTATGAACACTGTAACTGTCATATGAAGTCGAAACTATGAGTTTGAATATGGTAAATGGAGTGAGTAGTGACTCAGTGAATTGTAGTCGTCGAGGAATTGAATTACTTTACAACTCATGCGGTAACATTATAGTACTAGTCTTGAAATTTCAATGAGTGGCATTTTTAAATTTGAATCTTTTATAGATAGACAGATGTACTGTTTTTCTTAAAATGGAAAGAAATATATTTGTATTTTTTTAAGTATGTGAAACACACCTACTTAAACACACTTACTTTTGTACTTTAGTATAGTTTGTTATGTCCTTTATTTTCTGAATTTATATGGATAATACACTGTAATATTTAAAGTAAGACAAGTAAAATACATTGATTTATGAAAAATATCTAATTTCATTTAAAATCTACTTTAAAGAAGCCAATTAGATTAATTATACATTATTTGCAACATAATTGTTTATAACAGATTTTAACGTAATTTTCTTATTATTAAAACATCCACACCAAGCTCCAAAGATATTCTTGTCAATAGATCAATGTCAATCATATGTCAAAAGGAATAAAGAGAATCTGCCCACGTAAGACTAACTCGGGGTAAAGCTGACAGAACGCGATTACGCGACGGGGCCCAATCACCTTTTTGTCACTTTCCGCACAAATTGAGGTATTCTTTTAACGTGTCAATGTTCTATAATCTCAATCCTAAGCTTACGACACTGATATTTTATGTTAAAAGAATAATTGGGTCGATTGAGTCGTAATCTCGTATAGGTTACGCTTCCAAAAAATGTCATTTTTCTAAAAAACTGTTATTTTCCATTCAACATTTAAGTGTTGGGGTGGGCTGATTTTAACATATTATATAATTCTAATTAGAATGAGATAGTTGCTGGTAAATGTTGCCTAAAACACCTAAGTTTATTTAATTTATTTGTGCATGCATTTTAGCATATAACATATGTAGGTATAGGTATACTAATATTGCAGCAATCTATAGGTGAAAGAATTATTTAAAATCGGTGAAGTATTTTTTATCTTTATATTACAAACGTACAAACATATAATCATACATTCAAGAAACTAAATTTTTCCTCTTTGTACTAGTAGTACAGATTCAGATTCCCAATACATAATAGTATAATCTATACTTATATATATATATATATAGGTAATGGTAGCTATAATAGATACACTAGGTAATTTAGTGAAATTGTGAGGTTATAGGGATAATCTCTAGATCTATTACCAGCCACATTATTTTGAGTGCCTCTTACTACGGAATAGATTTTGACGAAAATTTACAGTAATATAAAAAGTTGTCAAATATCGTAATAGTATAACCGTATCTTATTACAGTGTGCATACTACATACCAAGTCGAATGTTGCAACATACACAACAAAGTGTAGCTGTAGCTTATTAGTGTTATATATATATATCTATATACATACCTAGTCGTAACCTGCACAGCTATACTTTCCGTCTGCTGCTCTGCAATAAAGCAAAAATTTTACTTAATCAAATGTAACAGACGAACCCTTAGGTGGGGGTTTTAATTTAAAATCCATTTACAAATAGCAACTCGCAGCCCCCTCACCTAGGGAGCTCCCCCTACGTATCTCGGCAAACTATAAAATATGAGATGGACGTTTTATTTCTGCAGTTTTTAGCTTCATAAACATGTCACATAAATCTTGACAGCACGTAAATAAAAATGGTAATAATAATTTGTTTATAACTTTTATTCATGTCTTCACTGCCAGACAAGTGTTACAAGAACTAAAAAGGTTTTATTCTTTTATATCATATAAGAAGTTTAATGACAAATTAGGATCTATGAATGTGGATGTTTGTTTGTTTGCCACCTCTTGGCACCATAACTGATAAAACAAAGTTTGTCAAATTTAGTCAACATGTAATATTTGGGTTGGAGAAGAATATTTATGTCATGTAGTCTTATGTTGTAAGTAATGTAAAAATGTATGGATGAAAAGTTGTTGGAAATATTATATTATATCGTGATTACAGGACCTCGTAATTATGTTAAGTATATAATTGAAATAGTTATCGAAATATGAATATAAAATTGAGATTTTATTGTTATCCAAATATGAAACTTTTTATAGTCAATTTGATTGTACGTTTCACAAATAAATGAACCACGTTATCACATGAATGTAAATGAAGATATCTGTATCAATCAAAATAAATAACATCAATAAAAAAAAATTAGCACGACTCCAATAAGATTAATTCAGTTTGTTCTCGTTAAAGCGGAGTCTGTGTCATGTATGAAATGATAATCTTATTTCTGCTTAATGCCGGGTGCCGTGTTTCGAGATATATATTTTTAAATATCAAGAATATAAGGATAAGAAACGAAAGTCTTAACTAATTTGAATCAGGTAGATAATAGATAAAGATACGAAACAGTTTTGATAAAAGAAAAATTATTGAATCTCAAGACACATTGATTTGAATTAGTTATAATTTAAATAATTCAAATCAATGTGCATAAATATCAATTCACTGATTATTTTTAATAATATATAGGTCTAGGTCTCATAAAAGGTTGTCTTGAATCATACTCGTAACCCCTATAGTGTCATAGAATATCTCTTTGATGCAGTCATAAGCTAACGCACCCCCACCGTGACAAAGGGGACACTGACGGGAAGATAAATGACGTGTATCTGATTACGGAGCGTGGTGGACTGTCCACATGTTACTGACAGTGCTAATCATCTATTGTTTCTCTTTAATACACAGGGGTTCAGTGACCTTATAGAATATCCACGTGATGAAGTAAGTCGGATGGGGATGCAATGTCAGATCAATTCTTTTCATCTTCATATATAAAAAAAAACAATACAGTGGAAAGAGAAGGAGAAGAAGAGAAAAAAATTAAAAAAAAAACGCGTTATTACCTTAGTTGTGTATCAGAATAGTGATGGATTAACAATATCATTTCATTTCTCTGGACGTAAAAGCGAACTAAAGAATCAAAGCTAACAAGACTGGTACAGGGGTTTCGTTTTTAAAGCCAATCTTTGTTACATTTTAAGTAGCTTATGATTCAGATTGTCTTTGTTATTCATAGGAAATGGAATTCAAACATAGCGTTGGTAATTATTTTGGCAAGCAACACAAGTTTGGTAGACATGGACCGGGGGACCTAATAAAATCGGACAGTTACTGACAAATGTGCTATCTCATAGCTCTCTCCCCTTTTCGTACATTTCCGTGTGTATGGTACAAGAAACAAAGACCAGACACACAAGAAACAGTTAAAATTCAATACCATGATTCATACCACACTAGTTTGTACCTGCAATATTAATTATACATCTATTAAAATAGTGAATAATTTTAGATTTTTTGACAAAACCTACAATATTTATAACTAAATAAGTATAAAACTAATAAGTAAATAAAATGCTAATTTAATCATTAATTTTGGTGGAGATTTCTGCAACATACTTAGAATTATAGAAATATTTCAATGAATTTTAAATACATACGTCTAAGAATAAAAACTTGTAAGCTTTTAAGTAATTTCTACAAGATCTACAATATTTAGTATTTCATTCTTTATTTGATATATAAAAAAAGATTATATTACAACCAAACATGTTATCAATAGCAATGTCATGATAGTATGATGACTACCATAAAAAAACAATGTTGATACCATTATTTAACAATTGATTATGGTGAATTGAAAGAAGTTAGAAAGAAAGAATTGAAGAGATATTATTTCCTTCAAACAAGTTAAATAATTCAGGAACGCGTTTCAAACAAAAAACGAATTGTAATCGGTTCATTCGTTTGGAAGCTGCGATGCCAGAGACAGACAGAAAATCTTTAGAGTTATGATACCTATTTTGCGTCGAGGGTGAAACGTAAATGAGAGCTTACTATCTGAAATTTGTACGTACTCGTTAATTTGGTCTAGGCAGGTAACAGTGAACAAAATAAAAGATAATACAAAATAAGGACTGCTTTTAAGATTAAATAAGTTTTTAGGGATAGTAAAAATATTTTTTATGAGAAAACTAGTCTATTACACACATTTGCAGTTACACAAATGCCTAATCCGACAATGGCAACACAGATAACAAATAAAAATATATTCGACTGAAGGACTTGTATCCATGGTCATGAATAAAGCATTATTAAAAAAAAAAATCTAATTCAAGCTGACGAGGACTACTGCAGGCTTGATCCTGTCTCATCTCGGTTCAATAAAATTTTCAAATATATGTCAAATATCGACAATTTAGTACAATGATTAACCTATCTCGAATAAATGTCGTGAATGTATTTTTATTTTTTATTGAATGTACTGAATGACAGTCAATGAAAACCACACTTTCGCGACTTAAATACTGACAGAATGACTGATTGAAAGGCTGATCAGGAACAAAGACAAATCAATCTGATATAAACAGTTATCATATTTTCTTAACATTTTTATGTACATTTGTATTCAAGTATATTTATGTATTTAAAAATAAATCGTTTGTCTGAAAAATTGTCTATATTACTCCGTTAAATATATATCAACACTTTAATATGAGGCAAAAGTTTAATTCATATTAAATACTGTGAGTTTGAAGATTAAGGTTAAATCTTATAGACTTATTGACCTGACAAATCTCAATTGTGTACACCCGTAGGCATTCCAATAATGTGCTTGTTAATGGCAGATGTGTTCTAAATCGCTTCTGCTTTTAACACGTACGTGAAAGTACCTAAGTTGAGATGAATCACATAATCGATCTGTGTACCAACGGTGGCTTGTTAAACAAAGTTCGTGCGTAAATTAACCTAATCTCGTTAAGTTTTAACGACCGACGCCAGTTAAACTTTCAGAGTTTAACGGTAATTTTTTTAGGAAAACAACGTGAAACTTCGAAGATCTCGAGGTAATAAGAATAATAATGCATGTAAATATAACATTTTGACTGCCTCTTGGAATGAAAAGAGACACGAAGCATTGTAAATTCGTGGTAATTTATAAGCAAGAAAGCTGATTTATATATAAATTACTGGTAATCCATAAATAAATCTATTGGTGTCCATTTAACGAGTAGTCTTTAAAAATCAAATGAAGATTTGATCTATAGCGTGATTTTATAGGAAATACAATTAATAAGAACAAGTTTCTAAGATATTTTAAATATATGTATATATTGGTATAGAATAGAAAAGTTCTTTATGAACCCAACACTTGACATATCCACATTTTGCTCGGTATATTTTAAATCCTTTCAAAATTTTAAATAAAAAGGAATAAACAGTAAATATAAAAGATACAGTAAAAAAGTAATTAAATGCAAGTTGCAAAAAGACTTCGCAAATTAAGAAAGCAAAGCTGTATTTAACAGATTTTGCTTATTAAATATTCGGTACGATGAGAGCTCGATTCGAAGTACTTTATTAGATGAATAAAAACAGAACAAGTTTGGGTTCGTGCATTTTGGCCGTTATTATTATTTTCAACGTGAACCATCGTGGCCGGGTATAAAAGTTTAACGTACGAACACGGCTATAATTTTCACGGAAGTCGTAAAGAGGCATTCGCCGCCATGTTCAAAATGTGGAACGTGTTTTGGCGGGAATATAACAATGTTCTAATGGTGATCTTATAAAAATGTTTGAGTGATAAGCTACTGATAAAAAACCGGAAAACGTGTTTAATTAATTATAGAATAAAAAATAATATCTATAATAAAACAACATTTGACAACCGTTACTTGATTGCGAAGCAACAGTGAGCAACAAAATTGAAAATGTTGACAAAATTACTTCAGTTATTACTTAAGTTTTGTTAAATAGAAATGTTTTTGTAGTTAGAATTATTCTAGCAGTCTTGCAGAATTTAATATTGCCAATGCAATTGTCATAACATTAGGAGTACCTAGTGATAATATTTTAAATACTATACAAATTTATTTAACCCAGATATGTTATCGTCTCTCGGATTAATTTTGTTTGGTCTCCGTATTTTCGTCAACAAACAATCAGTCAGATATATATTTTTTTTGTGTAATCTTCTCACTAATATACAAAATTCTCGTTCAAAATTGCATAAGTAATTTTGTTAATATATTTAGTATATCTGAGAATAGGGTGTAAATTATTTCTAACCCCTAAATGATAAGGGTGGTCAACCCCAAACAATTTTTTTATGATTGGACATTAAAAATACATTCAACCCAAAATTCCTTATACAACCCAAAACCTTTCTACCATCAACTACTATTTTTTTAATAGCGATATATTCATTGACTCTTTACGATTATATTGACGGGCAGTATAAAGTTTGCAAAAAATAGTCGTATTATTAAAATTTATTCTTATTATTATATATGGACACTAAGTTTTTTTTGTATCGGCCATATGCGAACTCTATATTTTTGAGATCGAAGTTGTTTGTTATATAACTTGGTCTACGGTGATATTAAGGTACTCTGTGTTACAATATAATACATGATTATGGTAAACAGCTCGGACTCCTTTTACAATTAAACAGATAACAAACTTCCTTATCTCAATCCCCCTAGGTTGGGTATAATGGAACCCGAAATGTTCAGTTCAGTTGCGTATATTACTATATTATCAGCGTAGATCGTAATTTATAATGACATATAATTATGTTGAGTAGATTACTTACTTACCTTTGTGG